CTTCACTTAATGATAGGGAAAATGCATCTTATGAAAATGTATGTCATTATTTTTAATTATCAAAGTACAATTATAATTTGTACTTTTAAAAGAATTTTAGTATAAGGACTGTTCTGTGTATCCCAGAAGTTTTTGTATGAAATTAAATTTGTTTTATGATACCAAAAGGAATAAAACATATAACAATTGTAGCTGTTTTGTTTAATGGTATTTAATGATTATTTTTAAAAAATCCTTATAATGTATATATTCATTCTGCCTACAGACAGTTGATATACACAAGGAAAAAGTGGCTAGAAGAGAAATTGGCATCTTGACTACGAACAAGAACACTTCAAGAACTCACAAAATCATTGCGCCAGCCAACTTGGAGCGACCTGTTCGTTATATCAGGAAACCTATTGATTATACAATTCTTGATGATATTGGTCATGGGGTAAAGGTAAGTGGTGAGATGAAATAATTCAAATGTATTAATCTGCCTGTATGTTTTAAGAATGCAAAAATGTTTGTCTGGAGAGGCTCCCTTGCAATTCTCCAATTACTCCAATTACTAGCATGGTTTGTTTACCTTTTATATTATTGATCCTGTAATGTATTGTTCTTTGTGTCTCAATGAGCAAAAAATAAAATTCATTTGTGCCCTCTTGATTTTGATTTGGTACAAGCAGTACTGACTGACAACGTAATACTTCTTTTCGGTTTGCTTGTGAACTAAAATCTTATTATAATACTATTGCAAGCATGATATTAATCTTTCCTTTGGTCAGACTAATTTATTTATATTTATTATATGGATTTGTCTGCTGCCTACTCTCTTGATTCTAGACTCAGTTAATTCCAGACTTGCATAATAAGCAAAATTAATCTTTGAATATCCTTTTAAAACAGAAAAGTAAGATAAACCTTAAGAAATATCTGGGATCTACTGGGTATGTGTCTATAACTGGGTATGTGTCTTTAATTTGGTTTTATTCGGTGGGGTGTGTGAGTCTTTCTTTGTCTTTTAAATAATGTTGTGAGCCGCCCTGAGTCCTTCGGGAGAAGGGCGGGATATAAATTGAAATAATAATAATAATAATAATAATAATAATAATAATAATATAACAACACCTATGATTTAAGTGTTGCTAAATTGCAGGTAGAATTACATATTAAATTTGTATGCATGCACTGTGTAGCTGCACATTTAATTGCATGCGTAAAGTTTGTTCATTTATTGCATGCATCTCTGGAACACAACCTTAAAATATATGAAGTAATTAAAAGATGTGAAAATACCAATGAGAAGGAAAATGTTAATGTGAAAAGAAACAATTTACAGTACCTGCAGCATTTTCAGTCAGCATAGTAGCAGAAATGACAAAATAATATGAAGTGGTATTTTCTGGGGAATTATTTGCCTTGCAAAGAAATGCATTTGTTTGTGAAGTTTTTCTTGAATTAAGTATATTACTGTTTACTTCACAATCCAGAATGTAATGATTCAGATTCTTCGGTGAAGCTTGTGANTGTTAAAACAGTTGCTTTTACTGTCCTTTTACATTATTTACCTTATAAGTGTTAATAATATTAATAAAAAAAAGTTCTGAGCTACCCTTATTTTGCTTCAAGTTCTTTATTTGAAATTTAATTTTTTTTCCTGAAATTTCCCTCTTAAAATGAAGGTGCGTGTTATACGCCTGTGCGTGTTATACGCCGATAAATACGGGTATGCACATTTCCAAAGAAAAGACTGGGCCACAACACTCTTAACTTTTTATATGTAATATAAAATTATATTTCACTTTGCCATATTTCATTTTCCATTTGAAAAAAGTGAGTGAGTTTATGCAAGAGATTGGTGGGTATTAAGGAATTCTCAATAACAAATTCCTATGTATAACTAGAGAGTTTTAAAGTTTTCTTTTTGGCTCTTTGGCTAAGATTATGTGTAGTATAGAAAAGTTCTATAACTTCTCTCACAAATGATGTGGATGGAATTGACTATAAGACGTTCTTCAATGTCTTTTTAGAAAAAATAAGAATAAACAAAATAGAATAAGTTGAACATGTAATTTTAAAAATAACAAAATTATATTTTTATATAAACTATGCAACATTTCAGGGGCAAGATGGATAAAAAAGAAGAAACCCTTGCTAATACAATCTGAACTAGGCAAATTTTCACCTCAAAACCACATTATGGCTTTTTTGAGAGAGTTATCCTTTGTAACTTAACCTCTTGTAGGAAATCCGCCTTTTCCGACTTCCTGATTCAAAGATATGCTTGTGTCTAGCATATGGCCAGTGATTTGTGAAAGACTTTATTTTCATCATTGTCAAGTCAGATAATATATTGAACCATGTTTAAAGATGTAAACATTGTTTCCATTTTCTAGATTCTAATACAGGTTTTAAAGGAACTAAGCATTTTTATTTAGAGTCTAGCCCTTTCTAAAAAAAGGGGGGGAATTTTGCCATCTTTGGTGAATATTATTTTAAAAATATTTTATATTGAGGTTATTTTTATTGTGACAAACACATTAGAGATAGTGTATACTGAGAGTGTGTTAAAAGTGATCAGTCTAATTTTTTCAGAAGTACTTTGTTATTATACTGTAGTATAGGAATGTTTGTGTTTGCATTGCAAAAATATATATAATTATTAAAAGTACTAGCAATTTACTGAAATTGTATCTAGGTCTCTTACTCCCATACATATTTTTTGAAGAAATAAAATGAGATTTGACATTGTTGAATGTCATATTCAGTCAAATATACAGTATTTCCATTGCCCTGCTGTAATACATTTGCAAATCTAATGATGAAGATTATTGCTTGTTTTACAATAGTTTGCACCAGTTATATAAAACGTAGGACAGAGCTTATAGAAAAAGTCTGATACACATATTATTATGATTGATTTCATCTGTTAAATTTATGAAAATCTCATAAAAGTGAAAACTACTTACTTGGTCCCCAATGAAGGAAAACTTCCAACACATCAGTAGTCCTTCAATTTCCCATTTATGCCCCCTCCTGAATTGAAAAATTGTACTTATATTTGTTAGCAAAATGGTCAGATATTTTTGGGCTTTTTATTCAAATTGAAAACTACCCTCAAATCTCAAAATAGTCTGCTTTTCTTGGGATGATTTGGGCATGGTTTGAGAGACTGCTAGGAAGTGAACTGGAAGACGGCTGGCAGTAGGTTTGGTTTGTTGATTTTGAGTCCAACTCAAAAAAGTCCAACTAGCTCATCTTTAATAATACCAGCCCATACTAGTTGGCGTCTGAGTCGAAGTAGAGCTCTGTGCCTGTTACTGATCCAGCCATAGGCCCATCCATCTGGAGCGTCAAGAATCACTCTCATCTCATCCATAAAACCTTTGAAAAATCAGATATTTCTTGGCTCAGTCTTGCCGTTTCAACTTATGTGTCTTGTTCAGTGGTGAACAGCTTGTACTTCTGGGCACTGAACAGCTTGGACTTCTGGGCACTCCAGGTAGGCTGCAGTCCTGGAATATGACAGCACTGGAGGATAATGGGTTCACGTTTGATTCTTCTCAAAACTTCGGCAGTTAATGTGCATCTTTTTTTCTTAACATATTTCTTGCGACTCTGTTGACTATTTGCAACAAAACATTTGATGGTTCTGTGATCATGCCCCAATATCTTTAGCAGTTTCAAGAGTGCTGCATCCCTCTGAAAAACGTTTTGGCCCATTTTGCCTGAGGAAAAGAAGCTGCCTAATAATTAGGCAAACCTTGATATAGGGCAGGGGTAGGCAACCTTGGCTCTTTTATGACTCGTGGACTTCAACTCCCAGAATTCCTGAGCTGGCTGGCTCAGGAATTCTGGGAGTTGAAGTCCATGAGTCATAAAAGAGCCAAGGTTGCCTACCTCTGATATAGGGCGTTGATCTCCTTAGGCCACACCCTCCCTCGTTACACAAATAAACATCAGGATATGCTTATATCCACTAAGCATTCAAGTTTATACAGCTTGGAAGTGGAAAATATGCATGACACTGATATGGTCAAAATAATCCCTTGCCTAATAATTGTGCACACAGCGTATGGCAGTTTTTCCTTTAAGCCAGTTCTTTGATCTTTTCTCAACTTTTCTAATGTCAGCAATTTATATAATAAAACACAATGAAAGAACAATTTGACCTAGGAAAGAAGTTGTGGGAAATGTCTATAATATGTTTATTGGCTTAAAAAGATGCACAGGATATATATATGAAAAATGTACAGTACTGATTGATTTTTTTTCCTTTAGTCACCAGATAAACAACGGGCTCTAGAAGAAACCAAAGCATACACAACTCAGTCCTTAGCTAGTGTAGCCTATCTGATCAACACTTTGGCAAATAATGTTCTGCAAATGCTGGATATCCAGGCCTCCCAGCTTAGGCGGATGGAATCTTCAATCAACCACATTTCACAAGTAAGATAATATATTTAGTCACTTTATATTTAAGGCTCAGTGTAATACAGTGAACATTACACTGTTTCATGTAGGCAGATACAATCTGCTGTCTTTTAGTTTTTATGGAAAAAATAATTATTTTTCTTGAAGGAAATAAAATATGCACTTTTTTAAAACTTCTAGAAATAAAAAAATCTTCATTAGACAGCTTTACCATGTAAAATTCATACTTGAAATGTATTATTATTAGGACCTGCAGCATTAAACAAATTTCTACAACCTGAAGATATAATTTTTTCCATGAGACTGTCTCACATTAGATAAAAACAATATTAGGAAGCATAAAAGTATTCCTTTCATTCCAAGAAGTCCATATTGGGGACAGTAAGTGGAAGTAGTATTTTGCACAGTTGTATCTAATGTTAAAATTTCTGTAAAGATCTGAGAGAGCAGCAGATCTAGGTATTTATAATACACGGTAATCAATGTACAGA